AAATGGAGGCCGGGCCCGGTGGCTCACGCCTGTAATCCCAGCACTTTGGGAGGCCGAGGCGGGTGGATCACGAGGTCAAGAGATCAAGACTATTCTGGTCAACATAGTGAAACCCTGTCTCTACTAAAAATACAAAAAATCAGCCAGGCATGGTGGCGCGTGCCTGTAATCCCCGCTACTCAGGAGGCTGAGGCAGGAGAATTGCCTGAACCCAGGAGGTGGAGGTTACGGTGAGCCGAGATCACGCCATTGCACTCCAGCCTGGGTAACAAGAGTGAAACTCTGTATCAAAAAAAAAAAAAAAAAAAAAGAAATGGAAAGGGTATCCAATCAAGAAACATAGACATTCCTAAATAAAAACTTTATTTTTAATCCAAAATATGCAAACTAAACATTTTTATTTTTATTTTTTTTATGAAATGGGGTCTCACTGTGTTGCCCAGGCTGGTGCTGAACTCCTGGGCTCAAGTGATCTGCCAGCGTTGGCCTCCCAGAGTGCTGGGATTACAGGAGTGATCACCATGTCTGGCTTGCAAATTAAACGTTTTAAAAATCGCGTCAGTGCCAGCGAGGATTCATTCATTTATGCAACAAACACATCCTGATTGCCTACTATGTGCATTGTTCTAGACTTGTGAGCAAGATGGACAGGAACTTCTACCATAGAGGAGGGTCGAATAATACGTTAGTTGTTAAAGACAAGATGAGATTTCAGACAGGCTGAAGTGCCATGAGGAAAGTTAAGGCAGGGTGATGTGATAGAGGGACTTGAAGATAGTGTGAGCTTATAGATGGGAGCTCAGAAAAGAGCTTTCTAAGATGGTATTTGACCTGAGATTTGAATAATAAGAAGGAGCCAGTGATGCAAATATCTGGGGGCACAGGAATGATAGCAGGGGCAAAGACAAGAACAAAGTGCAAGTGCAGAAACAAGACCTCTGCTGGGGAGGTACTAAAAGTGTTTTTGTTTTTACTAAAGGTTGCTGGCTCTATTTTTGATTCTGCTTTCATATGTAAATGAAGGTCCTCAGGCACCACTAATTGAATTGCATGTTTCAAATTTCCCAGAATATATAGTATCCATACCTAACTTTCACAACTCTTCTTTCCACTAAAATAGGGAAAGAGTAGAGGCAAGGGGATGGTTTTGTACTTTCAGTATCCAAACAGAAATCTATCGTTTAAACACATAATGCCATAGCTACTCAATGTATTTATTCATTCTCCTTAACTAGAGTCTAAATTCCATTCTAATGTAACATGTGTTGAATGCATGTTGGATATCAAGGCTAACAAGAAATAAAACAACACCTGGTGGAGAGTCAACTGCATGTTAAAATGAATAAATGAATGAGATATTCACAAAATATTTTTTCTCCAATGTGTTCTGCTTCATGAGGTATTCCTTCTTGTCTCCTTTGTATTTTGATCCTCATATTCCTATGGCTTAGTTCCTGGACCTTTACTTCTTTCTACCTTCGCTCCTTCATTCACATTTTTAATTACCTCAGCCAGTCTTAATAGATTTTTTTTTTTTTTTTTTTTTTTCGAAGTTTCTCGCTGTGTTCTCTAGGCTGGGGCGCAGTGGTAGAACACGATTCACCATTCACCACAGCTTCAACCTCTCAGGCTGATCCTCCCACCTCAGCCTCCCAAAATAGCTAGGACCTGCAAGCATGAGCCACTGTGCCTGGCTAATTTCTGCACTTTTTGTAGAGACAGGGCTTCACCATGTTGCCCAGGCTGGTGTTGAACTCCTGAGCTCAAGCAATCCACCGGCTTCAGCTTCCCAAAATACTGGGATTATAGCCGTAAGCCACCATGCCCAGCCTTTGTCCCACAGCTTTGAATTCCATTTGAATTCTCTCTCTGTCTCTCTCTCTCTCTCTCTCTTTTTTTTTTTTTTCTGTTAAAGATAGTGTCATGATCACTGCTCCCTGCAACCTCAAAACACCTGGGCTCAAATGATCCTCCCAGCTCATCCTCCTGAGTAGATGGGACTACAGCATGCACCACCACATGCAGCAAATTTAAAAAATAAACCAAAAACATTTTTTTTTGTAGAGACAGAGCCTCACTATCTGCCCAGGCTGGTCTCGAACATGCCTGAAGCTATTCTCCGGCTTTGGCCTCCCAAATTGTTGGGATTACACGTGTGAGCCACATGCGCAGCCTATATTCTTAAGGTTATCAAACTTCCACACCTTTTCTCTGAAACTGCACACTCCAACTGTATATGCTTTACTTGGTGTTGCATTAGTTATCAGTTGCTCTATAACAGATTACATCAAATTTAGTGGTTTAAAACAGGAGCAATCATTTATTTTCTCTCATAGCTTCTGTGGTTTAGGAATTTAGAATTGGCTTAGCTAGGTGGTTCTAGCTCATCATGTCTCTTGATTTTGCAGTCAGATATTAGCCAAGCCTACAATAATCTGATGGCTTGACAGGGGCTGAAGGAATTCTTCAGCCCAAAAGTTCAATAGTGCCAAGACTGAGAAACCCTGCTTTAAATCAACAGGACTATATATTTAAAAAATACTAATGTCCTGCCTCAGCCTCCTGAGTAGCTGGGATTACAGGCACGTGCCACCATGCCCAGCACAAGAGCGAAACTCCATCTCAAAAAAGAAAAAAATACTAATGTCATGAAAGACAAAGGCTGAGGATTTAAAGATTGTCAAGATTTGATCTTGAATTTAGAAAAAAAGTCATTAGTATAAAGGGCAGCACTTTGGGAGGCTGAGGTGGGCAGATCACCTGAGGTCAGGAGTTTGTGACCAGCCCAACCAACATGAAGCAGGGGCAAAGAATACAAAAATTATTATTTTTTTGTATTCTGTATCTTCTCTACTAAGAATACAAAAATTGCCAGGCATGGTGGCACATGCCTGTAATCCCAGCTACTTGGGAGGCTGAGACAGGGAAATCACTTGAACCTGGGAGGTGGAGGTTTCAGTGAGCCGAGATTGCGCCATTGCCCTCCAATCTGGGTGATAGGAGTGAAACTCCATCTCAAAAAAACAAAAACAAAAACAAACAAACACAAAAAAATACAAGAGGACAGCATTGGGAAGTAAACAAAATTTGTATGTTAAATAGTACTATTCTGTGACTTTTGGTTTCCTGAATTTGATAATTATACTGAGACTAAATAAGAGAATGTCTTTGCTTTAAGAGTGAGAGTCATGGTATCTGTAATTACTCTCAAAAGGCCTAACAACAGAAAATACTAGGAATATAACATGTATATTACAGGTAACATATGTAAAGAAAGGTAATGCAAATATGAGAAAAAGTTAGCAATGGCTGAATCTAGCTGAAGAATATATGGGAGTTCCTGCAACTTAGGATCTAATTTTTTTTAAAGCTAAAAACTTAATTACAAATTCACTCTAGCAGAGATATCAGAAACTTAATTAAAGTATTATCATGGCATCCAGTGGTATAAACATATTGTTTAGCAATATTGAGGTAGCTACCAGTAGAAATGCATAAAAATGATTCTCTCTCTCGGAAAAAAGCCTAGGTTTCAGCAGTTGGGAAGGAGATCTACATATTTATAAAGATAGACTTTAAAGACATAATCCTAAAGAAATATAGTTGATTTAATGGGAACTAGTGGAGGCAGCAATCATACAGTAGAAGGAACACTGGACTCTGAATAGAAACACGTGGATTCCTGTCTTCTAATATATCCGTGGTTAGGTTAATACATCTCTTTGAGCTACGGTTTTTTAAATTTGTAAACCTGGGATACCAGTTACATCACAGGGCCACTGGGAAGATCAATACAACCATGTATTAATTCCCTATACAGTATTAAAAGTATCATAGAAATGCAACCTAATTTTTTAAAACCATGACTCCCCTCATTACCCGTAGAATTTTTTGTTGAAACCCATATAGTGGGTACTCCATTTGCAGTCTGTGTTTCCACCATCAGACCTTAAGCAGGATTCAAAACTTCTTCATTTTCCCACGAAAGAATTTCACTCTAGTAAGAAATTTTATTTTGAGTAAAATAAAATATTTTGCTCGAGTAAGTAAAACATCTTATTGAAGAATTTTTGGGAAGACCAGGTTTTTTTTTTTTTTTTTTTCCCATACATGCCCTAGCATACAGGGGCATCAATATCCTGTCCAGAAGTCTCCTCCCACTAGTTCTTCTTCCCAAAACCAGCTTGCGCTTTGCATTCTTTTTTCCTCTGCTCTGGCCTCTCTCTTGCTTGAATTTACCCCCTTGAGTCGCTCAGTCTCTTCCTTTCCCTTTCTCATATTGGGCAACTTAATTCTTCCAATTATTTATTTCCAAAAAAGACCCATTAGTGCCAAGATTCATTCTACTTTTGAAGGCAGCCGATAATTAAAATGATAATTTTTTTTCTTGCATACTTGTATTCTTGGGTCTATTTCTGAGCTTTCAATTGTGTTCTGGTGACTTATCCTTGTACCCAAACCCTGAAAGCCTCCTGGGCAGATGGAGCAGAAACGAGTCAGAGAGCCTGAATACAGCGCTCTCACGGCCTCAGTTCTTTGGGCGCAGGTGCGGAAGGTCCACTGCGTCCCACCCAATCGGGGTATTTCCCGCCCCCTAAGCCCGTGGACCGGAAGCCATGGGGGCGGTGGAGGTGCAGGGCTGGGGGCGGGCGGACGCGGTTCTCTCCGGAAGGACTGAGGCTTCTTTAGACCCGCCCGCCTCCGTAGCTGCCTGAAGTAGTGCAGGTTCAGCCTGCGAGTTGCAGAACATGGCGCTGGCCGCTCGACTGTGGCGTTTTCTGCCTTTACGACGTGGAGCCGTCCCGGGGTCTTGGGTCACTGCGGGGACTTCGGGCAGCCGTGGGCATTGCGGCCCCTGTCGGTTCAGCGGCTTTGAGGTACCCCCGCGGTCCTGGCTCCCGCTCCCCACCTCCTGCCCAGTGGGTTCCGGCTCCCCCTTACCTTCTTCAGGCGTGGCGGCCCCGCGCTGCCTACCGGAATGTGAACTGCGGAAGGACTCGGGGCCAGTGTGCCTGGAGCGCCCAGACAGGTCCCTTCCCTTTTGCAGACTTCCGCTATCCTAAACTGGGGCTGTCAGGGAAGGAGTGGGGTTTGCCCCCACGCGCCCCAGAAGCTGCCTCCTACTTGTCCTTCCTGTGCGAAACGTAGAACGGGACGGGAAAGAACCCTGACCGCTGTGAAATTACTCTCTGTAGGCGATGACAGATACGGCCACAGCGCTTGAGGCTGCCCCTCTTTCAGACTTTGAAAAGTGTGAGATATGATTTTAAAAATTCTACGACTCAGAAGCAGAGATTTCATACTATTTAGGCTTTTGTTAAAAAGTAATTATTTCTGAGTTACCTGTTTTATCTGCACAAAGTCAATGAAGGATGTCCACATGTTGTAGTCTCAGTTCTGATATTTCTATTAGAATACTCGTGGGCCTCTGTTTATTGTCAGGGAATTGGGGAATGGCATTAGTGCATATGATATATTTCACGTGAACTAGTTGTTTCATTATTTTAAGCTCTAAAATACATTTTTCACTGCTCAGTTAACATTGTTCAGAATTATTACGGGACTGATGGTGGGGAGGGGTGGTTAAAAGTTAGGCGTATTTCCTTTCCTTGGAAGTTTATAACCAAAAGGGGAGATGTTAGAGTTCTAAGTACGAAACTAGCCTCAAGTTTTCAAATTAGAACAATGATGGGTTTGAAGTCCCATTGTAGGCCCGGCTCCTTGGCTCACGCCTATAATCCCAGGATTTTCGGAAGCCTAGGCGAAGGATTGCTTGAGTCCAGGAGTTTGAAACCAGCCTGGGCAACACAACGAGACCCTGTCTACAAAAAAATTTAAAAGTTAGCCATGTACAATTTTTATATGTAGTAATTACTATATTTGATAATCTTGTCTGTAAGATTCATTTTATTTTGTATTGTTTTCTCATACTTTACTTCATATAATTTGCAATATCCATGCATTCGCAAATAAATTGTAGCTCTGCCTTTTCCAGCAGGAATGTGATTTTTAGATGAGCTACCACTCCAGGTGGTATCTTTTTCTTAATAAGATATGCTTTGAGACCGTTTTACTAAGTAATTTGATAAAGTAAAAATTTTAAGCTTCCAGTATTATGATCGATTGCTTTCAGGTGGAAGAAAATTAATGTAATTTTTGCTTGGGGTAGCAGTGCCTTCAAATTTTCAGTTTGTAACTCTGACCATAATTGTTTCCATAGGTAATGGGAAACCCAGGAACTTTCAAAAGAGGTCTTTTACTGTCGGCTTTGTCTTATCTGGGTTTTGAAACTTACCAGATTATCTCTCAGGCTGCAGTGGTTCATGCCACAGCCAAAGGTAAGCAAAAATTAAACATATGGAACACTTAGAGTTATTTTTTGTTTGTTATTTTGTTAATAGCTTGGGTATTTTTATATAGATAATGAAACAAATATTGTTATGGTCTAGATTATTTTCTGCCTTTCTCTGCTTCTTAGTCTGATATCTCATTTATATATGTATTTTTTCTAGAAATTAGACCTGCCTCAGTGATGCTTTATTAACATTTTATATTTTTGTAGAATCCTTAAGCTAAGAATTAAGAATATTCTTTTAAGTTTTTAAATGGTTGAGGTTGAAGAGTTGTAGGGGGTAAAAAAAAAAAAAAAAAGAACATGCTGCAGAGACCATGTATGGCTCAAAAAGCCTAAACTGTTTTACTCTCTGGATCTTTACAGAAAAAGTTTGCTTTCTAATGATGAATGAAACTGTCAGGGTGTTATATTCTTCTTGATATGGTTAACAAAAGGCCATTGTACTTTAAAGTAGATATGTGTTGCTTACAAACAGAATGCTGCTGGGTAAGTAAGGTTGAAAGTGAAAAAAAAATCAAATTTCTTATTGCCATAATATAGATAAGTAAACATATATTAAGACTTGGCTGGGTGTGGTGGTTCATGCCTGTAAACCCAATGCTTTGGGAGGCTGAGGTGGAAGGATCACTTGGGCCCAGGGGTTCAACACCAGCCTAGGCAACAAAGTGAGACCCCATCTCTACAAAAAATCAAAAAATTGGCTGGCTGTGGTGGTGCACACTTGTCTGAGCTACGCAGGAGGCTGAAGCAGGAGGATCACTTAAGTCCAGGAGGTCAAGGCTGCAGTAAGCCGTGATCTCACCACTGCCTGCCTAATTTTTGTATTTTTTGTAGAAACGTGTTGCCTGGGCTGGTCTTGAACTCCTGGGCTCAAGCAGTCCACCTGCCTCAACCTCCCAAAGTGTTGTACAGGCATGAGCCATGACACCCAGGTCCTTATCTCTGTTTCCCTTTGAATCGATCACATTTAGTTTCAGTGTGTTTTGGCACCATTATAGAAATGATTCCAAAGATGTAGTGCTTTCTGAAGTAATAAAATACAGAACTTTGAAAGGCAAAACCAGAATTACTTTTGGCTTTATCATAGCCCATTTTTTTCTTTTTTTTTCAACTTTTATTTCAGATTCAGAGGATACATGTGCAGCTTTGTTACATGGGTAAATTATGTGTTGCTGGAATTTGGTGTACAAATGATTTTGTCACTTGGGTAGTGAGCATTGTACCCAATACGCAGTTTTTTGACAGTTGCCCTCCTCCAGCCCTTCCCATTCTGGTAGGCCCCAATGTCTATTGTTCTCATCTTTGTGTCCATGTGTACTCAGTGTTTAGCTCCACGTTACAAATAAGAACATGCAGTATTTGGTTTTCTGTTCCCATATTAATTTGCTTGGGATAATGGCCTGCAGCTGCATCCATGCTGCAGCAATGGATGTGATTTGGGGTTTTTTAATGGCTTTATAGTATTCTGTGGTGTGTATATAATGCATTTTCTTTATCTGGTTCACCACTGATGGGCATCTCAGTTGATTCCATGTGTTTGCTAATGTGAACAGTGCAGTGATGAACTTAAGGATGTGTGTGTCCTTTTGGTAGAACGATTTCTATTTCTTTGGGTATATTCTCAGTAGTGGATTGATGGATCAAATGGTAGTTCTGCTTTAACTTTTTGAGAAATCTCCAAACTGCTTTCCACAGTGGCTGAACTAATTTATATTCCCACCAGCAGTGTGTAAGTATTCCCTTTTCTCCACAATCTCATCAGTGTCTGTTTTCTTTT